GACAAACAAATCGTTGGTAATTATTATATTAATTAAGGTTACATTTGAAATTACTTTATTGTGGTGCTTCTTTACACAACATATTATTAAAATTATTGATTTTATTATAATTAAATCAATATTATATATTAGTAATTACTACTATATTAGTCATTTTAATTAATTTTATTTACACCAATGTAAAATATATTCTCAAAATAATTATCAAAATGACAGCACAGTACATAAAAAATCACAACTGCGCAGCCTTAAACACAGTTTGAATCATACTTAAAAGATTGGAAACCATCACATGATGCTACTTGCCCATTTTTCCTGTGACAAATTGACAATACGGCATTAATGGGATGCCAATTAACTAAACAAGAGTAATTTTTTTAAAAGTGTAAACTTTCTTTTGTAAAAGAAGGTTCATGAAAATAGAATAAAAGTGAGTTTCACAAGGACATCCATAACCATAACGGGCTCTGATAGGTCAAGCTTTCCATTTACATTTTTTACATTATTTTTTTATTAATACTTCTAGAAATTTTTACTTTTAATTAATACATTTTATAATTTAAAATCTAAAAAAAATTAAAAATTAACAATTAAACCCTCTATTTACACTTTAACTGAATTGGTAATTTGAGGTTTTTTATGAATATTAAATTATAAAAGAGGTTGATTAAAAGTGAAAATTATAAAAAATATTGATTGTAAAAAAAATGCAAAGTACAAATCAAATATTTAACTTAAATTCTATAATAAGTAGAATAGTTTGAAAGAATTATTTTTTATCTAATAATAAAAGTATCTTTGAATTAATTTATAAATATCTCAAAATTATTTTATTTACTATCTAACTAAAAATAAATTCTCTATATTAAAATTTAAAAATTCATAAAAAAATTATATTTTTATTAACCTAAAAGAAAATAAATAAAGGTATATTACTATTCTTTATGGCCGGAATTCCAACAGGCCATATTTATGCTACCAGACAAAAGTACAAAACGCCACTTCCTTGATTGGCGACAATAGGACCTCAGGACCAGAAGAGAGGTTCTGGGGCTGCCCCTCTCACACGGCATGGGGCCGCGCCTCTAATTGACTTGGATTTCATGCCTAGATTTCAAGGAATTTGAATTTAAGAATTGTGCCAAAACATATGGGTTTAATTTCCAACTAGGCGCAAGTCGGCTGAGTCCGAGTGATTAAGAAGTTAGTTGACTTCAAGCAATTCTGTTGCTATCCTGAAGCAACTTGAAACTTAATACATAATAAGTGTCTGATTTG